CCTGCAGACACACTGACCCCCCAGGAGCAGGACAGGACACCCTGCAGACACACTGACCCCCCAGGAGCAGGACTGGACACCTGCAGACACACTGACCCCCCAGGAGCAAGACAGGACACCCTGCAGACACACTGACCCACCAGGAGCAGGACAGGACACCCTGCAGACACACTGACCCTGCAGTCTGACAGCCCAGTGTCAGCAGTGTCAGTCTGCTCGGGCTGGGAAGCTGCTCTAGTACTGCAGCAGCCGCTTGAGTTCCACATGACCAGGCCTGTGCTGCACCCGTGTACCAGCGGACATGTGCGTGAAGCTGAAGCGCTGTGCTGTCGCTCGGCCCGTCTCTCTACCTTGGACCAGTTCCTCGGGGAACAAATACCTCCCGTCCGTGGTCACGGCTCGCTCTGCAAAGACCAACACGCCGTTAACTCCTCTCGCCTCCGGACGGCACCGCGGGCACTGTGGGTCCCCAGGTCACACAGCTTCCAGTGTCCATGGAAACAGCTGCTATACAGTCTCCATGGATGGAGGTCCAATACAGTATCCATGGAAACAGCCCAGGTATTGTGTCCATGGTACCAGATCCTGTATAGCATCCATGGGACCACCCCCTGTATAGCGTCCATGATAACAGCCCCTGGCATGGGTATACCTGGTATGGTATCCATGGCAACAACCTCTGTGTGGTATCCATGGCAACTCCTGTACAATTATCCATGGTAACAGCTGACGAATGGTTTTGTAGAAGACACTATACAGTAACTGGTAACAACTCTTGCATAGAATCCCATCAGGAGATACTAGTCATACTCCAAACATTGAAAAGTAAACTGCATCCTGTTACCAGGTACCAGGCTGACAGTCAGGGCAACTCTGGCTGAATCACCCCAGCCTCGGCACTGCCCTGGGAATGGACTGACCCCAGTTCAACCCAGTGGAGATTAAATTCTCTTTAAAAAATGAATTGACTAGATAAGCTGCAACCATGGCCAGCAGGACACAGCTGCCAGGGGGCCGGGGCCCTGCCCCATCCCCATGCCATCCCCGATACCCCCCGACACACGCCACGCCTGGGCCGGCACTCACCGTGGTCCACCTTGAAGCGCAGCTTCTGGATGACGGCCAGATTCCCACTCACCCTGTAGATCCCGTCTGTCTCCAGGCCTGCGGGGACAGGATCGGCCTGCTGTCAGAGCCCTGCGTCCGGTGGCACGAGCACTAGCTGGCACACTGCCACATGCAGGCACGGGGGGCTTCAGCAATGACCCCTAAACCACCTGCAGTGCTAATGTCCATCCCCCAGTGCATTCTCCCTCCGCTGCTCCCAGTTCAGCATCACGGGGGAGCCGGAGCCTATCCCTGCGAGACAGGGTACGCTCCGGACAGGACGCCAGTCCATCACAGGGCAAAAAGACCCTCACTCACACCAGGGTCAGTTTTCCCACTTGCCAATTAACCCAGCAGCATGTGTTTGGATCGTGGGAGGAAACTGGAGCACCCAGAGGAAACCCACTCGAACACAGGGCGAACGTGCAAACTCCTCACAGACAGCACCCCAGGAACTGAAGCAGCAATGCCAATCACTGCGCCAGCATGCTGCCGAATTACTAAAGCCGCTTTCTAGAAGTTTTTTGGACCAATGACATGGGTTATTCTAGCTTTCCAGATTTCCAGCCAGGCCTGTTGCCACGGGGACAGATGTGCAGGGAGGAGGAGACCCACCTCTCTTCTCCACGGCCTCCGCGCACAACCGCACGAACTTCGGCACACTGCTCTTCTCCCTCTCACACAGGGCGTCCAGCCGACAGCCGAACACCTGTTCTGCAGGGACACAGTCATGGACATGCAGCCGTTAGGAGAACTGCAATCTGCAGCCACAGGAGACCAGTCATCTGGTTACTTATAGGATACACTGCACTGGGATCTCCCTGATCACACCGATCATTTAGGAGCAGATCCGCCTGCTGAGATCTAACACTCTAAAGCACAGCCAGTGAGAGTCCGCAAGTAAGGGGTCTGCAGGTTTTGACTTCGAGGGTCTCAATCGAGCAGGTTTTCCAGGTCACATCAAACTCACTCCATCTTAAAAACAGAAAGATTGTCTCAGCTGTTCCAGTTCATGGGCTCAGTTCTTTTCACACACTGAGCTTCTACTGACTGAGTGACCAGGAGACCCTGCTGGACAGAAGACTGTGGCCATGTGGGCCCCAATCCCAGCTAGGATTCAGCAGCTGTCTCTCAGGCAGGCTCTAGGCTCCAAGCCACACTGGGAAGGCCTAGACGCCTCCTCCGTGCATTCACATCAGTACGGGTGTTTGTGTACGTGTGTGAATATGTGTGTTTTGTGGGACTGTGTGTGAGTACGTGTGCTTGTGCGTGCGTGTAAACGTGTGTGAATCTGTGTGTGGGAGTGTGTGAGTATGTGTGTGCTTGTGCATGTATGTGTACGTGTGTGAATTTGTGTGTTTTGTGTGAGTACATGTGCGTTTGTGCATGCGGGTGTACATGTGTAAATATGTGTGTTTGCAGGAGTGTGTGTGAGCATGTGTGTGCATGTGCGTGCGGGTGTATGTGTGTGCGAGTATGTGTGCTTGTGGGAGTGTGTGTGAGTACGTGTGTGCGGATCTGTGCATTTGCGGAAGTGTGATGGTGAGTGCGTGTGTGCTTGTGCGTGGGTGTGTATGTGTGTGCTTGTGTTTCCACAGCTTCCTTTGTGCAGTACCCTTGATCAGGCCCTTCTCCTGCAGGGCCTGCAGCGGCGGCCTCTTCAAGATCAGCTTCTTCAGCCGGCTCTTCACCCGCTTCTTCTCCGAGCTCTCCGCGCTGGAGGTGGAGCGCAGCACTGCTGGGGGGGGGAGAGGGGGAGACAGCGTGAGAAGAAGCCAGTGGTGAGGCTGCATCCGAAACAGCAGCTGCAGGATCAACCTGAGAAACATCACGGCACCAGGAGGCTTGTGTGTGTGTTAGCTCTGGGGATGCGTACTCCATGGGGATTGTTTCACACTAAGCGCACCTGCTGTTCCTGAGACTTGCGATGTGCTGTGCTGTGTGCGTGTGAGGGTGGTTGGCATGCTCCTTTAGGACTTTCTTCTGCTCCCAGGAAAAGGAGTAGCTCAAGAGTTTTAGACACATCGACTGAGACACTCTCACGTTCCAAGCTTCTTGCAGGCTTTTTCCACTGCTGTGCCCCTGCAGGCTCTTTTTCCTATTTCACTTCGGCCCTCCACCTAGCTGCTCCAACTGTTGGGGTGCTGGGTCAGAGTGCAGTGAGGACCAGTGGGGCGCAGTGAGGACCAGTGGGGCGCAGTGAGGAGCAGAGGGGCTCACTGGGGTGCTGTGAGAAGTGGTGGGGTGCAGCAAGGTGCTGTGAGGCGTGGTGGGGCTCAGTGAGGATATGTGGTGTACTGTCAGGCGACACTAACAAGAGGACTTGCGGCTGGCCCGGATGTCGTCTTCGTCTCCGCTGTGGTCCAGGATCTCGGTGCTGCCAGCGCGGCGCAGGGAGTACAGCAGCACGTTGTCCAGGGGGTTCTCCCGGTCCTGAAACGCAGAGCGAGCACGTCACCCGCGGTACAGCGCACTCACCCTCCTGTTTCCTCCAAACGGCCCATTGGCTGGCCCCCCTCGCCCCCCCCGGACCCGAGACTCACCAGGCGGTCGATGACACTCTGGATGGTGCTGTACCACTCCCGGATCACCGAGTCCGTCTCCGACTGCAGCAGGAACTCGTTCCCAGTCACTGTCCGCAGCTGAGGGGAACAGGTTCACCAGTACAGCTCTGAGCTCACTCCCCACCCGCCCACAGCTGAATGGCCATCGATACAGCAACCCCCCCCACTATCACCAGGACAAGCAAGGGAGACCTCTACGGAAAACTAGGCTGTCGACCAGCAGGTGGCGCTCTTCGCTCACTGTACTGCAGTCGTCCAGGTGAGAGGTGACCTAGCAGTCCTGACTAGATGGTCGCTAAAGATCCCACAGCATTGTTTCAGGAGAGCAGCGACACTAACCCCGAGATTTGGGAACAATGTGGGAGTAATCAAGGGCAGCACCAGCCCGCTCAGTGTGCAACACAACATCTTGTTAATCGGCTCGGCTCGATCATTTCCCTACAGCGGCTCTTTCTGTTGCGGCTGACAATCATCCTAATGGAAGGCGGCCATAATGGAGAACGTCGTGTTTTCTGAAGCTGAAGAAAAGAAGATCAGGCTAAGCGATCTCAGACCAGAGCTACACCACGTCAGGTCATTGCAATAGTGCACAATATGCAGAAGAATGTAATCATTTGTACTGCGTTTGGTTTTGAGTCTGTCAGATGCACCAGCGAATGGTAGACAAGCCAGATGTTACACACGCAGACTGCTGGAGGTGTTTTTACTAGAAGTTAACAGATTCACGTTTCCTGTCATTGTACACACGCCGTGTGGGTTACCTGGCTCACAATCGGCACTGCCCGGCCAAACAACAGCGTGAAAGCAAATGTACAGTGCAAAAGACTGTTCAGCAATTATGTGTAATCAGCATTAAAGTGCCTTGTTTTCCTCGTGGTTTCTCCTGTATTTCATTAAATGGAGGTATTGGAAATTCAACCAGTAGCCCTTGGGATTGCAATCTCTCTCCCAATAACAGCAGCAGAGCAGAAAGGAGCTTTTCAGGGCTCAAGTTGATTAAAACATACCTGAGGTCGAAAATCTAGGCAAACTGATTGCTCGAACGTTTTTTTTAGAAATTGTTCCCACCTGCCCAGCCTTACTGATATCGTCTCCCTTGTGATTGAGAGCACTTGTTTTTTTTATTTCTTACTTAATTTCATATTTATTTCTGCATTTCCTTTCTACAAAGATCCCCTTGATCATGATTTATTGTTATACCAGCTCTTTTTCCACTTCACTTTCAATGTTAAAATACATTCTCTTTGTAAAATGTGTGCCTTGCGGTCTTGTTTATAAGTCATTTATTCCTTGTCCTTCAAAGCGGATTAATAAAAGTTTTCTTTCTATATGTTTCAATTATCTGATTGCTCTAGATAGTAAAGTCGGGTTATGCCAGGGGCTGATAAGAGTTGTGTTTGTGCACATCATGACCTGGAGGGGCCCTGTGTTGCCTAGGACCCCCTGATCGAGGGGATGAAACAACCAGCCGCAGGCCGCTGTCTGTGCTGTTCTGTTCTTTAAAGGAGACAACCAGCTGATAATTCTCATAGAAGTGCTATCTGTTTCCTGTGGGCTGCTATCTGCACCGGCACCATCTGGGTTTTCTGTACACAGGGCCAGTAGATGTGACAGAAATGAGTCCAGAAATGTGGTTTAATACACATACTGTCGGCTCTTCGACCTGCCGGGGGTGAGAATCCGTAGAGGGGCCTGTGTCCCCCCCTCTCTCCCTCTCTCTTCCTGTTGGTCTCCTTAACTCCTGCACTCTCTGCTCATCTCTTTCATCCCCTCCATCTCTCACTTTCTTCCCCTCTGCTCCCCTTCCTGCCCTCTGT